TGTCCTTTGACGAGGAGACGAGGAGGCGTGAATCAGCTGAGAAACAGCACTGGTAGACCGCGCCAACGTGGCCGCGGAGGGTTGTGATGAATCTGTTACTCGCGATTAGTGACCGTCTTGTTTTGAATGGGCGTGGGGATTGGAAATTCTAGGGAAAGAAACTTACTTCCCGTCACGTCCGTTCCATAGCTTGACGTGGTTGTCAAACCCGGCGGAGGCGATGTAGGCCATATCCGGGGAGAATGTGACATGGTTGACTTCCTTCTGGTGGCCTAGAAGACGTGCTACGGGCTTGTTGGAGCTCTCGGGTTCCCAGAGGTACATGGTGAAATCGTCGCTGGCAGAGACGAGCTTTTCAACGATCTTGTTGTTGATTGTAGCTGCTTGCTCGAAGCGCTTCTTTGCCGTGGTGACTTTCTCCGCGTCTGACTCGGGAATCTTCCCGGTGTGGTCATGGTAGGCTGTCCTGAGGACGAAATCCGTGGATAGAGCAAGGTGGTTCACGCGGTGTGCGTGTGCGGACAAGGTCTGGATTAGAGTGCCGGTTTGGGAGTTCCATACTTTGATTGACCTGTCGTGGGAGGATGTGTAGATTTTGCCTGTACCGCCCCATCGAACGCAAGTTACTGAGCCCTTGTGTCCGCTGAGGACAATGTCTGCTCGCTTCGATATAACATCCCAGATACGGACGGTGGAATCCTTCGACGCAGACGCCAAGCGAGGGCTGCCGGACTGCTGCAGATGATACGGCTCCCAAGCTAAGCTCGTGATCCATTTCGAGTGCCCTTTCAACGGAGCCCCGAGAACTTGACCCTTTTTGGCATCCCATATCCGTACAGTGTTATCCATACTTCCCGTCGCAATCATCAGCCCATTCGGCGAATAGCTTACAGCTAGCACCCAGCTTGTGTGTCCCTTCAATGTGTGCAACGGCGTTCCTGTATCGCAGTCCCATATCCGGGCTGTCGAATCTCCGCTACCAGAGACCATTGTGGAGGAGGAAATGGGAGAAAACGAGGTTGCGAGAATCGCCTCGCCGTGTCCGGCGATGGAGGCAGAGCATCGTGAAACTGCCTTGACTCGGAAAACAGCTTGAGGAGTGAAGTATAGGTGAACAGTATCTTCCGTAGTTTTCAGTCCCGGTTTCAATAGAGAGTGGTATAAGTCCGCGAGAATATCAATCGTCTGGTTGTCCTTGTTGTCCTTGTTATCGGACTGGAAGGTAAATCGGTACGGAACTCGCTCATCCTCTTCCTTGAATAGCCGGCGGATTTAGCGATCGTAATCAATATTAACGTAAAATTAGTGGCGCATACCTACATTGCCTTGTAATGTGTTCAGAAGAGTCTCAAGATTCTTCACCGTAGCATCGGCTACTGGGACAGAGACGGCTGGGCCTGTCGCTGAGCCGGTCGCTTGGTCAAAGAACTGCACTCGGACGCTGCCCAGGTCGTCCGGAATGCTCTGGATATCCTGCTGCAGACGCGCCTTTTCGGCGAGGTCCGTCTTTTGGCGTTTACTCGGGGGAGGAAGGAGAGTCGCCATTTTGCGCTTGTTGAAGAAAAGTTGAAATCTCCGCCATAAAAAAGTGACCCGCCGATGGCTTATCGGGGAGGGGCACTAAACCCGTTTCGGGACAATGTATAGAAACCCAATAACCTCTCTTCCCCATCCGTCTCTCAACTCTTTCCATCATATTTTGACATAACCATACAATATATCCAATTGTTAGAATGTCAACAGTCTTTTCTAGAGCGTCTTCTTTCGCTCCCCCTGGCTGCTTTGCCCCTCCATCGAGACAAAATAGTGGACTCAAGACTGGGCGGCCAGACACGACCGCCACGAGCGTTGCATCACAGGATATCATCTGTGCTATCAATGAGTCTCGTGGGATCTCGTCTACGGTTGGGTTGGCATTTGTGAATCTGTCGACAGCTGAAGCTGTATTATGTCAAATATGTGACAGCCAGACCTATGCCAAAACCGTTACCAAGATCAGCGTTTTTGAGCCCACCGAGATACTATTCATGAATACTGCACGGGAATCTAAGCTCCCTCATATCATCCAAGCTAATATACCTAACACTACTTTTACCTTTGTTGACCGTAGGTACTGGGCTGAAAAGGCTGGGTATGAGTATGTGGAGCGCCTGGGCTTTGCCGAGGACGTTGACGCCATCAAAATTACTCTGGGAGGAAACTATTTTGCGACTTGCTGTTTTGCTGCTGTAAGTCTAATCTATCCTAAAGGCTAATACAGAGCTAACAACCTGTAGGTGCTAAAATATGTCGAACTTGAGCTAAACAGGATCTTCACATCTCATTCTCTTCGCATCAGATTTGAGCCTTCGCAAGGGACGATGTCAATTGATCTCTCAACTATAATTTCTCTGGAGTTGATACAGAATCTTTACAATGTAAAATCAAATGAGAGTCTCTTCGGCCTACTAAATGAGACCCTGACACCAATGGGGGCGCGACTGCTAAGAGCCAATATTCTTCAACCCTCAACCGAGGAACCCAAGTTGATCGCACGATATCAAGCAGTTGAGGACTTATCGACCAAGGAAGAGATGTTCTTCTCTGTGCGGCAAGGTGCGTATGAGATTCTCTATTAGCGATTCTCAAATGGAAGGCCATCTGATTGGATATGTAGCTCTGAAGGGGTTCGTAGACGCAGATAAGGTCTTGACATCGGTTAGTCTGCCAACATGTCTTATTTTCCGCCGCTAATAGCCAAGCTTATCCTTGTCCCTACCAAACGAACGTTCCAATATGTCGAACAATCTGCCAATCACGTTATTATGCTAAAGACATACGTTTCTGCGATAAGCTCGGTGTACAAAGCCCTCGCAACCGCCCAAAGCAGCCTTCTGTTGACGATTAGAGATGTATCTTACATATCTCTCTTAATATGGGAACACTAACTAACATTACCTAGATCTGCGCACCAGCAGGACACTGTACAATTGAACAACTCATTGAATCAACGTTGAATGAGCATGTAGCATACCAGACTAAACCACTCGACCTACGAAACCAACGGATATACTGTGTCAAGGTTCGATGAATCTATGGCATAATGATCGCAGCTAATGACGGCTTTCCCTCACGCAGGTCGGAGTAAACAGTCTACTTGATGTTGCAAGACAGACTTACAAAGAGGCAAACATGGACGCTGCAGAGCTTGTGACAAAGCTATCAGGTAATATCACTTCATTTACTATCATCTATAAATCTAACACCCTGTAGAAACACACGACTTAGGGCTTGACCTGAAATACGACCCCGCACGCCAGTACTATATCAGCATACCGGCTACAGAAACAAGGCCCCTACCCGATGTATTCATTAATGTTTACCGTAAGAAGAACCGCATCGAGTGTCAGACCCTCGACCTAGTCAAACTCAACCAGAGGATAACAGACGCTCATAATGAAGTGATCAGTCTCAGTGACAAAACGATTCGAGAGCTCATTCAGAATGTCTGCGCCGAAATATCCGTTTTATTCAAAATAAGCGAAGCTATCTCAATGCTAGACATGCTTGCTGCGTTCGCCCAGCTGGCCACAACAAACGAATACATCCGACCAGAACTCAATGAGGCCCTAGCAATTAAGTCTGGACGACATCCCATCAGAGAGAAAATACACACTAAGAAATTCATCCCCAACGACGCATACGCAACGAACCAAACCCGCTTCCAAATCATCACAGGCTGCAACATGAGCGGCAAATCCACCTACATCCGCTCCCTCGCACTTATGACCATCATGGCACAAATCGGCTCCTTCATCCCAGCAGAGTACGCCTCGTTCCGCATAACTCACCAGTTATTCGCCCGCGTGTCCACTGCCGACGACATGGAAGCAAATGTGTCCACATTTGCTGCCGAAATGCGCGAGATGGCCTTCATCCTCCACAACATCAACCCACGCAGCATGGTGATAATCGACGAGCTCGGCCGTGGCACATCCACAACAGATGGCCTTGCCATCGCCCTCGCCATCGCAGAAGCCCTTGTCCAATCCAATGCCCTAGTTTGGTTCGTTACACACTTCCACGACCTAGCCACCATCATGGCTGAACGCAGCGGCGTTGTATCCCTGCACCTCGCTTCTGAAATTTCACCTGACGCTTCCAAAATGACAATGTATTATAAAATCACCGAGGGCCCGAACAAAACGCAATTATACGGCCTCGCGCTCGCGAAATTGGTTGATTTACCGCCCGGCGTCTTGGAAATAGCGCATGACGTTTCAGAGGAACTTAATCGTCTCTCGCTGCGCCGTCACAGCCAGACGAAGGCTCTGGCTATTGCCCGCAAACGGAGACTCATACTCTCATTGCGCGAGGAGCTTATCCATGCCCGAAATGGGAAAATGGAGGGTCAGACCCTTCGAAGGTGGTTGAAGAAGTTGCAGGATGAGTTTACGCTGCAGATGGCTGCTGTCGATGAGGATATTGCTGGCTTTGACGAGTGCGGAATTGACGATGACCATATTAACGGAGGTCCCAATGAAGCCAGTAATGCTAATATCGAACACGGCAGTGAGTATAGCTCGGAGGAACAACTTCTTGAAGCTTCGGGTTCAGAAATCTCGCAGCCTCCCACAGCGTTTGTGTCGACTGCGGAATGGCCGCTGACGGAGATGTCGTCGAGAGAGACCTTTGAGAAGCGAAGTAGAGATTTTGGTAGCCCGGAGGCAATATCTTGTATGGATTCGGAGTAGAAGGCCTCCTAATACCGTGAGCTTGTTCTGAACCTCAAATGTCACATGGTCTATATCATGGTATGATTGTCTTTGCCTTCAAAAAAAAAAAAAAAAAAAAAAAAAAAGAGAGAGAGAACTTTTTTTCGCTTTCTATTGCCTATTATCAACACGCTTCCTCTACACTCGAAACACCTCGCTTATGACAGAATATGAAAACTATGTGTTCTTAACAAAAGACAATGGTCAAGGAGAAGGATGTCATATGTTATCCAGAAATCGTGGTCATTATCCGAAATGGAAAAGTGTTTGTTTTCCCTTTTTACCCTTACCCTTCTTCCCTGCTCCAGCTGATGAGAGATCCGGGAAATCATCTGCGGAAGAACCAGGCCCAGGGTCTGCTGATGAAGCCCAAGCATTTGCCGGCGCTGGGCGGCGATCATCCCAGCGTACGGTCCCACGTGTCAGACCAGCCATGAGAACATTCGGCTTAGGGGCAGCAGGGAGAGAGGGGAATGCTTCTGCATCACGGGTATTGACGCGACCCGAAGATGTGGATGTATTGTTTGCGCGAGAAGATGGATTTGCGTACGTCCGGGACTGAGGAGGTGGAGGTGCAGCGACTGATGTACCACCCCATGCTGCAGCGGAAGCGGTGCCGCGAGGTAAGGGACGTGAGGAAGAAAGAGGAGGGAAAGGGTTAGCAGATGACGAGGATGACCCGCTCCTGCCGGCAGCAGCGCGGGAAGATTGTGCAGTTGAAGATTTCAGACGAAGTACACGCCTGCCACCGGTGCCGCCAGTGCCGCTTGTATTCACGGTACCGGGAGACATACCCGGGATGCTACCCCCTGGTCCTGGAAGGGCAGGATAGTCCTCGTTAATTGCACGCCAGTCGTTCCAAGCTTTAAGCAGCGCATTCCGTTTGCCCTCATCCTCGTAAATCTCTGCAAGCTCTTTGATGAGTTTCCCGAGTTCGGAACTGGAGGTATCAAAGAGAGAGAAGAAGGCATCGATGAGTTCAGTTGCGGAGATTCCAGCAGTGCGGTAGCTAGAGACTCGGGAGCGGAATTCACCAAGCTTACCCTGGTCATTTCCGAGGAGGTTGGAAGCTCGCTCGATGACAGCCGTGTGGCGCAAACGACGCGCTTGGTCCTCTGGCGTAGCTGATGTGATATTAAGATTGTCGAACTCATTGACTGGCGTCGCAGGTGCAGGCGGTGTTCGAGTGGGAGTAGGGCCTAAGGAGCGTGGAGGAGCACGCACAGTCTGTGTTTCGTCGCGAGATAGCTGGCCGCCAAAGCTTCGTGTCGAAACAGACTGTGCGCTTTGAATTGCCATCTGTCGTTGGTATGCAATCTCATCTCTTCGCAATGGTTGCACAGTTGATAAAGGAGCGGTTTCTGCATTCGGGTCTCGTCCGCGGCCGGCGCCACGGCGTTGTCTTTGAGGTTGATAGGGTGTTCTGAATTCGAAAGCGGTCATGTCCACACGGGCATCTCGTCCTGGAATCCCATTTGGATGGCTTTCCAGTTGATGAGCTTTAAGATCCATTTGTGACTCGAAAACCACAAACTTCTTTTCTAGGCACTCTTTGTCCAGGCATAGGTAGTGGTCCGTCTGAAAGTGACTTTCCAATGCACTATAGTCGATATAGTATTGGTGTTGGCGAGTTGTAGAGAGTCTATCACAAATGTGGCATCGTTCGTGGCGGTCACGACAGTGGGCGTATAGTTCATCGTCTCCGTAGAACCTCTGGCGACAAAACCCGCACTCGGGATGGCCCCTAAAACCACTCTGGTCGAGAGCCCCCGGAACATCATCCCCATGCTTTTCGTGCTTGCGAAGCTCGGCATGCGTAAAGAGCTCGTGCTCATGGGTGAATACTTTCTTATTTCGAGTACATAGATCGCTGTGGAATCACGGCACTTGGTAAGCTTTCAAGCCCGTGATTAATAGGAAAGATCCTTACTTACCACATCACCTTGCCGTGTTTGGACTTGACGTGACGGTGTAAGTCTGGCCACCCCAAGCAAGCCACATCACAGTCCCGGTCCGGGCAGTTGTAGCGGAGCAATAGGACTGTATCCTCAAAGATTTCATCTTGTTCGTACTTGATACCAAGGTTGTCATCTTTCTGGGAATAGTCGCTATCCCGGAACTCTTCATAGCGCTTCGCGGGATCATCTGTGAATATAACGTAACTGGCCTCCGTCTAGAGGAAGGTATGAATTAGCCATAGGTTCATATCGGACGATTATACAAAAGCATACCCGACAGTGTGCGCAGGCTTTGTTCTTGTACAGAGCGCGCAATCTCAGAGCGCAAATATGGCAGGTGCGGTGATTGCACGGAGACACCGAGTTATGCTCAACTTTGGAGGCGCAAATGAAGCAAACCTCCCCATCATCGACATCGTCTTCCGCTTCCTCAGGTTGCTTGGCTTTCTCCGTGCTCGTGGCATTTTCCGAACCCCCGTCTGGCTCTGGCTTGCTGGTACCCCGATTTTGTCCACCGCGGCCTCCTCTACCTCCACCGCCTCGGCGCGGTCCATTACCCCTCGATCTTGGTGCTCTTCCGGTGCCCTCCGCACTATTCTGCGATTGCTCCGACTGGCGAGCTCCTCCGCGGCCGCGTCGACGGCCACTGCCGCGGCTTTGCGGGGCGGCGGTTTGGGAGGGCTGAGACTCCGACATTAGGCGGGTGCGATCGACGAAGAAATGCGGTCAAAGGAATGAGAGCGAGAGGACCTCTACTAGGAACTCTGTAAGATAGCGGAGCTGAACGCTCTCTTCGATTGTGTTGCGACCAGGGGAGTGAATGAGGAGAGCGTCTGGAGCAGTGGGGAAATTAAACGGCAGGCAGAAAAAAGTTGGCCTGTCGTGGATAAAGTCACCACAACGTGCTTAGTGAGCAATGCTTAACTTGTGCCAACATCCAACAATTAATGTCGCTAGTTACGTTGCAGTGCTAATCCAGTCTCTAATGTTCTCGTCGCACTTATGCAGCCTCCGATTCAGCTGCCCGATGGCTCATAATTACTCACAACGGCTGATGACTACTACTGGACTAAGGGTGGAGTCATTGTTGAGGCTGTGGCCATGACCAACTGCCCACTCGCAGTATCAGCTTCTGGAATTGTAAGAGTCATAGATATTCGCTAAGGATGGGGTCAAGAATAATGGCCAATCCAAGTGGTACCAAAAGTGTCTAGATAGTGGTAAATTCACACACGCCTGTCTGCAAAGCAACACCAACTCCCGCTGGAGAGGATCGGAGGTTAAAAAAAAAAAAAAAAAAAAAACATAAAATCTCAAAAATAAGGATAAGAAAGTTGGTCCGCCTAAAAATGAGGGAAATGGCAAGATGCGATAAGGATGCCTTGACAAAAAAAAAATACGAAGAGATTGATGGAGCAGAAAACCGAGAAATTAGCGCCTGGTTGCCAAAAATGCCGAGTAATGAATAGAAGCAGAGATTCGTGAAAGATCGCAATGCTCATGCGATTTATGGCGATTGCCTGCTAGAATAGCCATGCGGTTTCAAGGCATTCTTTTCTAGAGTAATTGGTCGGCTATTCGTCGGGACTGTATAGGTTTTGGCTGAGAATCTTCGTCATCGTGAACATGTGTATACGGTCTTGTTTAAAGACAGCGCGCATAGCATCATCACAGCGAATCTGTCGTTTATCGCTTGGGTCCTGAAGTTCGTTCTCATGAATATACGCCCAGAGTTTCTTTACAGCCTGAGGCCGCGAAAGCTACCGGGGCGGGTTAGCTTCAATATAAAACCGCATTATAACTGTCAGGCGTCGACATACCATCGTCTCACCACTAAGCAGTGCCGAAAGTGCTGGCGAAAGATTGAGAGGTTTCTAATAAGGCGTTAGCAATGGACATAGTGGTTAGTTGTCATTGAGCTCCACATACATGAAATCCTCCTGAACGGTTCACCTTCTTTCCAGCCTCCGAGCCAGAGCCGATGTCTGAATCGTCCTCTGCTTTAACCTTCTTCGACGTCTTTGTAGTGGTCTTCTTCTTCTTGCTCGGTGGCGCTTTACGCGTGCCGGCGCCTCGTGTACTGCGAGCTCGCATATTCTCCTCAGCTTGCAGCTTCGCGGCATAAAGCGCATCCGCGTCGACATCATGCTTCGGCTTCTGCTTCTTGGGCGGGGGAGTTTTGCTCGAGCGATCATCAGAGTCAATGCTATCTGCCTGGCGTTTCTGTGCAGTCGAAGATTGAGAGGGGGAGGAGGGTTCCACAGGCGTCGCGGAATCAGGTTGCTGTTCATCGCCATTTTCCGCACCTATGCCCTTCTTTTCGGCAAAGATGTCGAATCGTTCCATGATGAGCTGCTTGACAGCAACCTATGAGGGAGAAGAACAGGTTAGCTTCAGGATACATATCAGAATTAGGAGCGGTAAAAGCAATGTGCAACAAGAGCGCAGACCTTCTGCGGGGTAAGGTCATAGCCGACTTCATCCTGGAGACCCTTGCGAATGCGCTTCTCTGAGATCGTATTTAGATCACTTTTTGACAGAATCGAATCAATAATTGGAATGTACTCATCGCGAGTACCTGGGGAGACTTTTGAACGGAAAGAGAGGAATGATGTCAGTTAACAGGCACCTCGGCCGCGGCAAGGCCGTGGATCGTGGAGAGGCCGAACATACGCGACATCTTGTCTAAAGCTTGGCTTTCTCCTTCTATTGAGCAGAAAAACAAAATGCAGCTGCAATTGTAGTAATTGCTGGTAGTTGCGAGCTTCTGCGATGCTGCGATCCTGTCGGTGACGCGGTGAGCGCCTGGAGGGAAGAGATGACAAGGGTGCTGGTAGAGAGGATCGTCGGGATCTAGGTGTAGCGCTGGCGCTTAGGACCGGCGGGGCATAGGATGGAGAAAGGCGAGAGGGCGCTCCAGCAAGCCGATGGTGGGATGAGAGAAGTTAGAGCAAAGGGAAGAAGTGAGAGAGCGCCGGTCCACAACAACCAACGCTTCACAAGAGGTAAAGGAAAAGGCGGGAAGCTGCGTGGATGCGCTTGTTGATTTCCCCAGGCGGGAGGATGTGCAGGCAAGCCGCAAGTATGACCGGCAGCGGGAACTTTCCTTGCGCTTTCTCTAGCGGTCGGGAAAGCCCGCGGGCGCCTCAGGCAGAAACCCAGGCGGAATGACTCAGCCCTGACTCAGCCCGCGCACACAAGCGGGTGTGGGTTGTGATTTGTGCTTTTTGCCCTAAAATCAGCCAAAACGGGGTCCGCCAGCAGATTTCCATCCCTCCAGAATCGCAGCATCTTCCATCTCGAGATCCATCGCGGCTCCCTTGTTCACATTGCCGTCTGCGTCACGCAATCATGGCACCCAGCTTCGATACTTTGTCCGAGCAGGACCTCCACGAAGAGGAGGAAGAGGAGATTGACTTCTCCGGTACGTTACAGACCGATCCGCCGAGTTTTCCAGCCCCTCCTCGCTAACTTGCATTTTTCTTTTCTAGATCTTAAGGCGCAGTATGAAGTGAAACTCGAGGAGGGTTTGGACACATTTGTCGTCATCGACGGACTCCCAGTCGTCCCGGAAGAAAACAGACAGAAACTCATTAAATTCTTGTTGAGGAAACTCAACGCGGTTGGCCACACCTCCGAAGATGCCGTATTTATGCCGCTCAACGAGAAGAACATGTCCGAAGGGTACGTACCGGGCTATATGTGGCATGAGAGCCGCTGGAATATGATAAACAAGATGAGAAGTGGAAAGGTTAACACGCGGTGTTAGATTTGCCTTCGTCGAATATGAAACCCCCGAACAAGCCGTCGCCGCCGTCAAGCAACTGAACGGAACCCCCCTTGATAAAAAGCACACCCTCCTCGTGAACAAGTTGATGGATATTGAACGCTATGGCCGAGAAGGACGTATCGACGAGGAATACAAGCCTCCGACTATCGAACCATTCACAGAAAAGGACCACCTACGCTCGTGGATCGGAGATGCCAATGCTCGTGACCAGTTCGCTCTTTACCGCGGCGACAAGGTTGGAGTTTTCTGGAATAACAAGAGCAACCCACCAGACAATGTCGTGGATCGTGCTCACTGGACACAACTTTTTGTCCAGTGGTCTCCTAAGGGTACCTATCTCGCATCTGTTCACCCACAGGGTGTGCAACTGTGGGGTGGCCCTGCTTTCGCCAAACAAAAACAATTCCCTCATCCATTCGTCCAACTGATTGAGTTCTCGCCAGGCGAGAACTACCTGACTACCTGGTCTGCCCGGCCGATCCAGGTTGAAGAGGGTAACCCTATTCTGACTTACGAGGAGGACGGAAAGAACATCATTGTCTGGGATATTACCACTGGCAAGCCCCTACGGTCGTTTGTTTCACATGATCTGGCTGGCCCCGAGAGCGAAGCGCAGCCGAAGAAGAAGGTTCAGTGGCCAGCTTTCAAATGGTCTGCCGATGAGAAATATGTCGCCAGAATGCTCCAGGGCCAGTCAATTTCTATTTATGAACTCCCCCGAATGAACTTGCTCGGTAAGACGTCTGTTAAGATTGATGGAGTGATGGATTTCGAGTGGTCGCCCGCAACAGTCAGCCGTGATGGTGTCAAGCAATATGAGCAGCTTCTCTGCTTCTGGACTCCCGAAATCGGCAGCAACCCTGCTCGAGTTGCTCTTATGAGCGTTCCCTCGAAGGAGATTGTCCGAACCCGTAATCTCTTCAACGTGTCTGATGTGAAGCTGCACTGGCAATCCCAGGGTAACTTCGTTTGCGTGAAGGTGGACCGCCACTCCAAGTCCAAGAAGTCTATGGCCACCAACCTTGAAATTTTCCGGATACGCGAAAAGGGTGTCCCTGTCGAAGTTGTGGACAGCCTCAAAGACACCGTGATCAATTTCTCTTGGGAGCCCAATGGTGGACGTTTCGTTGCCATCACGACCGGTGATGGATCTGGAGCCGGTGCTCCTCCCAAGACCTCCGTCTCATTCTTCGCTCCGGAGAAGAAGGGTGTGCAGGCCGGCAACTTCAAGCTTGTCCGCACCATTGAGAAGAAGACCAGCAATGCTATTTACTGGTCTCCCAAGGGCCGTTTCGTCGTTGTTGCGACCGTCCACTCTCAATCAAGCTTTGACCTTGACTTCTGGGACATGGACTTTGAGGGCGAGAAGAACGAAAATGAGAAGGACCTTGCAGCTAACCTGCAATTAATGAAGACGGTCGATCACTACGGTGTCACAGACATTGACTGGGACCCCACGGGTCGTTACGTCGTCAGCAGTGCTAGTGTGTGGACTCATTCGGTAGGTCTTTCTAATGTGTCTTTCATATCGAACGTGGATAACTAACATGGATTTGTCTTTGTCAGATGGAAAACGGCTTTAACCTTCACACTTTCTCCGGAGAGACCCTCGCAGAGAACCCTACCGATAAGTTCAAGCAATTCGTTTGGCGTCCTCGCCCCGCCACTCTTCTCAGCAAGGAGGAGCAGAAGCAAGTACGGAAGAACCTCCGTGAATACTCCAAGGAATTCGAAGAGGAAGACAAGTATGCCGTCGACATTGCCAACACTGCTGTTGTCGAGAACCGCAAGCGTATTCTCAACGAGTGGGCTGCCTGGATTCGTCGGGAGAAGGAGCTGCTTGCCGAGGAGAAGGACGCATATGGTCTACCCGAGAATGCGGACGAACCCAAGATTGCCAAGGACGCGCCGGCCGTCACAGAAGACAAGGGCGAGACAGTGGTCGAGGAAATTGTGGAAGAGATTGTGGAGGAAAGCGAAGAGATTATTGGTTGAATTACCCTTTCTTCTTTTCGTATTTAATTTTATTTTCAACCTCTTTTTTTCTCGATATCATTTACCTTGTCTGTCGATATCCAGCTCCAAACCCCCTTCTCCTCTGCTACCGCCTACTTCTCCTTTCCTGTGTGCCTCTTTGTGCTGTTTGTTTGGCGTGGTTCCGGTTTGGAGGGGTTCGCCTGGCCTGGAACTGTTCAAAAGTGAATAGATCTGTATTTGCATCTCTCCCCGGTGCGGGAAGCTTATATGCATGATGTTGGTAGCATGAGTGATGACAGACAACGAACGACAAGCCAGCAAGTCCTGCGCAAAATGCAAATCTCTTAATTTATTACTTACACTTCCAACTGATTATATGGAATTAAATATGTATACCACAATCCCAATCCACCACCCAATCTCTTTGCTTTTCATTCCCAATAAACATCCACCATCCCCACTCCATATCGGGTTGTTATCATCCTCAGAAGAATCGGAGCCAGAGTCCGAATCAGTATCAATATCAACATCCCCACTCCCCTCTTGCACATTCGTCCGAAAATACTCAAGGTCGTCATTCGCTCCGACAACATTTCCTGAAGGCACATACTCACAAACAACATACCACCCTTGTGCCCTACTCCATTTCTTTTCCCCATCGCCATCCGGATCCGTCAACCCACAATCCACAGCTGCACAGCCCACTTCCCTCGTCCCCTTCCAAACGAGCTGTGTAAAGTGACCCGTCTCCTCGGTAAACCCGGTCGGCTTATTGAAGTTGTACATCGAGGCTTCTTCGCCCCACGCTTGTATCGCGGCCGAGGCATTCGTGTATCCGAAGGCTAAGTTTTCGCCGTAGGGACCTCCCTAATATCTCGGAATTTCCTGCAGCGTTAGTACTCTCCTGCTTCCTTCATGACAATGCATCTAGACAAACGGTTCCTATATAGAAATGAGAGGAAGGGGGTATTCGTACGGAATGTTTCCATAGGCATGTCCTAGCCCACTGGTTTGCGAAGCTCGCTAGCGTCTCATTCCAGACGAGGCTTGAGGCATTGTGTGTGCTGCGATAGGCGTTTGTAGTTGAGAGGATGGAAGATTTGAATTGGGAGGCCGATGTGTAGGAGCGGTCCTGCGGGACCTGGGGGTTTGTTGTGGTAGTTGTGGTGGTTGTGGTGGTTGTGGTGGCTGTTGCTGTTGCTGTGATAGTAACGATGATGGTTGTTTCGAGGGCAGATGTAGATGTCGGTAGGAGTATTGTTATTAGTAGAGAGAGCAGTTGAACGACTGTGAAGTGATGATGATGATAGTCTGGGGGTGTCGGTATTCGCATTTCTGCAGCTCGTTTCTTTCTTACAGCCCAGCTGTTTTCTAATAAACACTATGTGATCATGGCCAAATAAAAGCAAGGAAACCAAAATCGGAGGATGTAACATAAATATGGGTAAGAGGTTGTTCATGTGCTTGCTCCTTTCTTGCAGCAGCAAAGCATGTTCTAGGCGCCGGCAGTGGAACATATTGGATACCTTTAGATAAACCATTTCAAACCAATAAACCCAATGCTGCTCATCCAATCATTTACACGAAATAAGCTGAACTTGCTCACTGACCTTTGTCTTTTGTTTTCCAAGTGGAAAAGGGGCCTTTGTCAATAGTCACTACTGCGCGTCGCATCTCATTGTTCTTCAAACTCGCCTTGTCCGGTTTTGTTTATCCTACTTTGTCTGAGTTTTGGGATGAGCTCTGATGCCAAAAAGAACACCTTATGGGCAGATGAGGGTAGCTTTCATCTAGACCACATTGCGCCTCTGCACCAGTATACTTGGGATTTCTAGTACTGATCTCCCATGCTGCGAATTTGGCTTGTCTGGGGCGTTGGCCAAAGTAATCCGGTGCAAAATAAAAATAGAATCTGCAGAAAAGAATAGCCTGTCAGCCAAGAGCGTACCAGAACTAGCGCTTTCTAAAACATGGCTTGCTTGAAGATCTGCAGCGCTGTGGTGTGTGGACGGGAGCTCTTGTTTTCTGTCGCAGTAGGCGCCGACTGGCGCCAGGGCAGAAGCTCCACCTCACCCTGGAAAGTTTAGATGTGAGAAGAAATCAAGTATTGTATTTGTTTCCTGGATTTCTTCTAGTTGGTATATTGTATATATATTATAGTGTTGTGTTCCATTTACATAACATTGCACCCGATTCCGTACATGGCCCGCTCGACATCTCGCTTGATCTGGAACCAATCTGCTCGTCTCTCCGCGAACTCATACACTTCCTCGACTCGCCAAATTCCAGAGAACCGGCCCGCATCGGCTACAAGAGCCGCTAATTCCTTGGAATCTGCGGAGTCAATCAGGTAGATCTGTGATAGCTCTCGGAATGCCTTGAAATAGATGAGCAGCTCGTTATTTTTGAGGGTCTGGATGAACTTGAAGTAGTGGTTCATGTCACTGGGTGGCGATTAGTGCGTGTTAAAAAAGGGTGTTAATAGCTGGAACATACCTAATAAGCTTCAGGGATCCCTCAATGCTGACCCTCTGGCGCTTCAGATGTTTACAGAGGGCTGTGAAGAGACGTAGTCCAACCTCCTGGTTGAAGACATCAAGCGTACTCTTGTCTGTGCTTCCAACGAGCATTCGCGTATGTGAGGAAACTACATCGACCACGGCAGCTGCAGCTTCGGTAACGTTTACGTCCATCGTTATCCGGTTGGGATCAGTAGAGACACCCGGGTTGAAGTCGGTTGCAAACTGCCTGGTTGCAAGGATATAGTCAACTTCCTCCATAAGGACGTCAATTCCTTTGTTCAACCCAGCTGCAACACGTTCGTCAAGATTTTGCTCGAACTTCTTCTTCTCTTTCACCGCCGGATCCAGGAAATCATTACGATCAGTAAGTTTAGACCCGATCAACTCCTGCTCATAAAAAACATCAATCATTTGAAGAATGAGATCTCCAACGTTCACCAACTCGAGGAAGGTTACTAAAGGCTCGACGCCAGTTTGGTCACGATCGCCTTGCTCACGAGGCCGATAGTCAGAGAGGTGATCGACCGCCTTGTTAAACCCTTTGATAAGATGGCCATGTCCGAGGATGCGCAACAAAGCAACAAAAATTGCTTCACACTGTTGTTTGACTGCTATACCAGTCTCACCTCCAATCATCGTAAACTGCGCCGCGCGCTCAAGGCTTGATTTTGCCGCGTGGACCAGCCCTAACGCGACTTCGATACTAAATAAAGATCGGATACCCTCCATCTTTGATTTCATAATGGCCGCTTTCGCCGCAAGTTCAGTAGTTGGGGCTTCCACCACTGGAGGGGTGCCAGGTGAAGAGATGGTGGAAAATCGGTTGGTTTTTGGAGTGGAAGTGCCATCGCCAACCTCGGAGTCACGACTTGATTTTTCTTCATTTGTCTTCGTCGATGAGAATCCTGGAAGGATGTTTACCGGTGCCATGATCACTTTTTTAAAAGACGTCAAGAAGTCTCGCTTATCAGCTTGTCTGTTGACGTTGGACAAGAGAAATGATTCAGTCGAGGCAGCTTGTTCGGACAGTTGTCTATCCCACTCTCCTACAGCAGCCTCCGAGCCTTTTCTAAAGAAATCTAGCTCTTCTGCCAGGTACAAATCCATGTGCGGCTCGTAGATTTGCGCAATAGCCTGATGCAAGAGTTCGTCAAAAGTATTTAAAGAATTTTGAATGGGCAATAGAGTGTCCAGAAAATTCATGCACTGCACATAAGTACTTGAAACAGCAATAAGATACGACTCAATGTTCGACCGGTGCAAGTCATCAAATATCGCCGTCAGAAACGGGTAAAGCACATCGCGGCCTACCTTCTCGATAAAGGGCGATGCTGCTTGTAAGGACGGTGGAAAGGCACGGTTGATAACTGAGACTTCTTCATTGAAGGCCACACTTAACCGCGTGAAGAACACCTGAACGTGCTCAAGTTTCACCTTTTGGGTTGACGCATCAATACAATCACTGACTCTACCAAGCTCGGACTTTTTTGTGACTAGGTGATTATGATGGATAAAAAGGTCACAAGCAGAGGACCCGCCATTTAGAGTGTGCAGAACATGGGCGTATTTCTTCATTCGGTCGTCGATATCATCGGTTTCGTAGCCGTGCCTGAACTCTTTGACTGCAGCCGTTTCGAACATCGAGACAACAGTTTGCAGGTGTTCATGTCGGTTTTCGCTACCATCTGCCATATCGCACTTGGCAAACTCCTGCAACTGAAATAATATCTGCGCTTGTTGTTGTGGATCTGTGTACTTTTGAAAGACAAGATTATCCAGAGAAGGCCCAAGAGTGGCAATGTCATCGTAGAATGGTGATAGTGCCGCATGTATCTTTCCATATTCCTGCCTAGCTTCCCCTCGAATCGACTTAGCTAGTTGCAGCGCCCCAAGAATCGGATCGACATCTAGATCGACAACAGCTTCGGTTGCGGAGGTAGACAGGTTGATCTGATCAAAACCGTCCGAAACGGCCGTCACCTCAATCGTTGGTTGACTTGGTGCTTGCTTGATGACCGCTGATTCTTCAATCTCAACACTTTCTCTGTTTGCAATTGTCCCAAACTTCTCCTCCGCATTTTTACGAGCCTCCGCTTCATTCCAGCAACCTATTCTTTTGAGTCTCTGCACCCATCGTGAATCGTCGTACGCCATCTCGCGCAGGAGCTTCGATGCCCGGGCCGCTCGGACAAGGTCGACGGGAGGAAGGTAATCGAGTATCGAAGACATTATCTCTTTTCTGGGTCAGATATCCCATCCTTTTTCTTCATCCTGCTGGAGGTACCTTACCTGCGGGGAGGGAGGCCCTGGAGATATCCTCCATAGAGGCCATTTTGAGCGACGCCAACACATCGCGACGAGGCTTTCCGCCTGTGCCTGGCCCGTTTCTCGCTTTTGGCATATTTTGCAGTCAAAGCCTGCATTGGGAGGAGCACCACCGGTATCGTTGTTTCGAGGTTGTCTGAGTTCGCTTCGGTTCACGCGACGAACTGACCGCAATATTTAGTGAGTCCGCGGACAAAACGAGAGAAAGACCAATGTTAAGCCGTGGAGTAATTAGCGCGCAGCATTATTCATAAATCTGGCATCAGTATCGTAAGACATGCATCGTTTGGAGCGCCTGGCTTGAGAGCTCAGTGTATCCCACAACCCGAGCTTGATAACAGCTGGGGAAAACCATGGCTGGATCAGCGGGGCAATTTCCCCTTCCGACCGCGGCCTGGCCAACAACACCATCAAGAGGGCAAAGAAACACACAACAAATGGGTCCTGGCACTCGGAGTTGTGGGAGACTGTGAATAGCATTCTTGCTATTGGTTAGCATGCTATTCTTCGCAGGAAGTAGTTTTGTTGTTAAATACAACCTCTTCTACTCGATAGACGTCACTATATATTTTGAGCGTTGTTATAGGTATCCACACCAAACTCATCAGTAATTGAAATAACGAATTGGCAAGAGGAGTCATGATTACAGCTAAATCCAAGCCTCTCATCCTGCCAATGACTAACGGAGCTGCTCGTCGGTCCTCCAGTGCCTCGTATACTTGATGATGAGGTGCTAAGGTACACGGGCTGACTCGGGATCTGTTGGTTCCCACTGAAGCAAGCGCTGTCAACACCGGCAGAGTGGCAGTTGGCTCAGCAAACTCGCCACGACCAGTACTGGTGGCTTTTCGAAATAATTAATGCTATAGAATAATAGACAATGCCTCTAGCAATTCTGGAATTCTGCTAATGTTGCCCGGACGGTAACATGCAATTGCTGCTGCTCATGCTAAATTTGTTGTTCCGAAAAATCGCGGTTTTCACCGAAAGGGGCTAGCGTCAGTACGGTAGCCAATCAGAACGGAGGTTTAGGCAATTCCAAACCAGCGAGAAACTTGACGGTTCGGACAACCTCGACTTCACCTCTGAAAGCAATCTCCTGTGCGCTCACCCGGCCCCCTCTCCCCCTCCCCTCTCCCCATCTGCGGTTACCGTCCCTTCCTCTTTATCTTTTGATCGGAGGGCTCTTCATCTTTTCAGTATGCTGGCACGTACTGTCCTGCGCAGCGTGCCCTTCCGGGGTCTCGCCCGTCAGTCTTTGAACAAGACCTCTTCGGTACGCATCACCTCGGCCACCCGGCCCCATTGGCCTCCATGGATGAGGACAATCGCTCTTTAGCGTGCCCTGAATGTGTTTGCCATGGTCAATTACTGACTATATGCCCAGCGTGCGTCTTCCACGGCTGCCGGTGCCGAATCCGCGAACTCCCCCTTCCACCTCACACTCACTGCGTCGGTCGCTACCGCCATCGCCCTCGGGTCCGCTACGTATCTCTATGGACAGGAAGCTTTTGCGTCGACACCTGCTGAGGAGGGGTGAGTCAATTGAATGTTTTATGGGATGGCTATTGATTTTGGCCGTCTCCGATCTCCCGACCGAACCGTGACAAAAATCGATCCAACGGCTAACATATCGCGTTTTAAGGTTGCACGCTACTGAGTACCCTTGGGTACACGGCAAGTGGAATAAGACCTTTGATCACCAGGCGTGAGTTTACCCCGATATTGTCTGAACTCCCTGCCTTGATGACCACAATCTTACTCACCATTTGCTCCCTAGTCTCCGCCGTGGTTTCCAGGTCTACCGTGAAGTTTGCGCCAGCTGCCACTCCCTCACCCGTGTTCCTTGGCGTTCATTCGTCGGTGTAACGCACACCGTCGATGAAATGAAGGCCTTTGCCGAAGAGAACGAGTACGATACCGAGCCCAATGACCAGGGCGAGATCGAGAAGCGCCCCGGAAAGCTCTCTGACTACATCCCCGCTCCTTACCCCAACGAGGAAGCTGCCCGCTTCGCCAACGGTGGTGCTCTGCCCCCAGATCTCAGTTTGATCGTCAAGGGTCGCCACGGTGGCTGCAACTACATCTTCAGTCTGTTGACTGGTTACCCCGACGAGCCACCAGCTGGTGCTAGCGTGCAGGAGGGCATGAACTTCAACCCCTTCTTCCCCGGAACTGGTGCGTTTAATATTATTTTTGCAACCTTGCGTTGATATTTGGCTAACTCTACCTAGCCATTGCCATGGCCCGTGTCCTTTTCGATGGTGTTGTCGAGTACGAGGATGGAACCCCGGCCACCACTTCCCAGATGGCCAAGGACGTTGTCGAATTCCTTAACTGGTCTGCCGAGCCTGAGATGGACGACCGCAAGAAGATGGGATTCAAGGCCATCACTCTCCTCACTGGCCTCTTCGCCCTCAGCGTCTGGGTTAAGCGCTACAAGTGGTCTCCCATCAAGACACGGAAGCTCGTGTACAGCCCTCCCGTCCCCCGGCGCTAGAAGGTTGCAAATGGATTGTATAAAGTATGAAAAGTGAAGGATCCAGCGACGAATAGCGAGCCGTTATTAATTCGAACCTTGAACCTTCTCACCAACCCATGTCGTTTACCAATCTTTTACCCGGCTTTCGATTCGATGGCCTCTTGTGTTTTGTTAGATGTTTTCCAGGACACCTGTATCTGTACCTTAGATATTTATTTTCCGTCTAAAACCTTGTGTGAAGAACCAATGTCACTATTTCCTTTGTTAGATCTTAGTGATGTTTGCTTGTAAATTGACGCCCTAGCTCTTGAATCACATGTCCCAAGAGAGATAAATAGTAGGATGTCATAAGTAGTAATATGTTTCTATCTTATCCTCTAGTTTGGATAATACCAAGATCATTGTCTCTTGATGATTTATATACCCAGGAAAAATGCTGCTGGCACGGGAGCAATATTCACCGCTCAACAGTATTCTCACCATCACCAAATATATGCACAAATACATTATCATAACTGCTCCACATCCCGGTTGTCACGACATCTCTGAATCGGCTAACCCACTCAGGACTGCGGCCATCGGGACGGGCGAATATCCTCGACAGTTTTAGCGTCAAAAGCAGGAGGGGAGCCCACGTAAACAAGAAAACAACCAAACCAATCCTTTGTCGCACTGAGGTGGTGCGGTATGGTTGAACTTGAGCTAGGTACTCCCGATACGCTGAAGGGAGGTTGTGCTCTGCTGCACCGGTGGTGATTAGTTTGAGATAGCGAGCGGATGGTTGCGCGCGGCGTGATTTCGGCGAGACGCCGAGGGCCGAGTTTATCTGAAGTTGCGCCACCTCTTTCATTGCGGCTGGAGAAAGTAGGGTATGTGCTTTCACCGGCTGTGTGTCAGGGCGCTCGGGGATTGGGTCGGCCGGGTCATAGGTCTTGGGGAACGGGTAGCATGTTATTATGATGTCTTTGTAGCCGCTACCGCCTCCCTCTGTGGCTATGATTTTTGCGTAGTCGGTTAGAGTGACTTCGTAGACAACGCCGATGAGAGGCCCTTTGTAACGGTCCTGATCACGGTCTTCGCTTTGTAGGAGAGATTGCTTTTCGGACGCGTCTGGGGGGTCGCTGGTATCGTCCGCCCCCGTTGGACTTCGGCGGAAGTGTGTTCCTGCGAAGCATGGTTCCATGTAAGGAACACCCGGGAGATCAAATGTTAATTGGAGCTCTGGCACGACGACGATGAGTTGGGAAAGGGGTTTGATGCCACGCATCCCAAGGAAGGTCTCGGATGCGAGATTCGATCCGTAAGCTAGGTATAGGACGGTCTTCTGATCGGACAGGACGTTGTCATCGCCATGATTGTGGGCGGACGAAAGCTTTCCTGGAAGATATTCGTCCTGATCGAGAGATTGCGCTGAAATCGAAGCTCGTTGTCGAGTGGTTGTGGTCTCAGGAAGATCGCGAGCAGCTGAGCCATCGTGCTGACTATGTGGGAGAAGATCTTCTTTCAGCTGCTCGAGGGTGAAAGATGGGGAGATTGACATGGGAGCAGCCCCATCGGCTTCACCCTCCCGCTGACTTTCGCATTGCTCTTTGTGCATTCGGGAGGAGTTACTTCGAAATTAACGAGTGAATGAATGGCCGAGCCCAAACTCCACAAGAAGGGCCAAGGCATCTGATATAGACTTTCATTTTGAACCGGCACGGGGTTGACACGGATCCCGCAGTGGCAGATCGAAGAGAGTCTTGCAGAACGTCATTGGTGCCGGCGAAAGGGACAATGCAAGCCCCGACGGATCTCGGAACGATTGGCTAGCGAGTCGCCGGAGCGGAGGCTGGTTATCCCGGCCAGACAGCGGTTCAAAGGCAAACAACAGCATTCAACATATCATGGTCGGGTTTGGCGACTTGAGGTTGCACGTCTGGAGTTTACTCCAGATTTCAATCTCAGCGGCTCGTGCATGGTTCAGTTCCATGTTCCTGGGCCAGAAGTGCCAATCACAAGGGGTCTGGCCCCATACACGATGGCGCGATCCCGCCAGCATCAGGAGTCATCTATAATGTAAATCACTGGTCATCCAGCCACCACGCATTGTCGCCTTCAGTGAATTCAACCATGACTTTTTTGGATCCCAGGAGAGATATCTTTGGCTATCGGTCGCGGTGGACTCGGGTAACACCCTCCATTTTGTCAGTAATGGCTGATTCAGTCAGGCATATGTTCTGGACATCTACGGACTGGACGGTATATTTGGACCGCTGGTAAGCATAAAGGTATTTGCTTACTTTAAAGCCAAAATGTCTGTATTGTAATATAGAGTCTTTCATAACCCGAGGGCAGGGTGTGCTGAAGTGTTGCTTGTTCGTCAATCGCTATAATTACCAGCGTGCGCACAAAAGGATTTTATCCCGATATAATCTTTGATGGTTCGTAGCTTAACTGCTGAGGAGAATTTAATTATGACTTGAGTTGGTGTATTGCCCTGGCATCATGTGATGGCAGCTTCCCTTCTATTCTGGGGCTTCACTTGAGCCAGAGTGATTGAGCTCTTTTCCATCCACTGCATCGTTTCCTGGAGTGTCTTCCCACATTTTCTTGAGATCTCTGGACGCAATGCCAGCTCCACGTCCAGAGACGGCCCAAGGAGCCAAACCATCGGACTGCATTGAAAGGTTATCTTCACTTTTAGAACATGCACTCAGGGAAGGTAGGGTAGATGAAGACTCTCTCCCCGGTCCCCACTACTCTTACTTGCTCCATGAGCCCCCTCTATTTGTCTTCTCAACTCCTTTGCTCAGAGCGCTGCTAGACGACGACCTGGTCATTCCCCCAAATACCGGCCATCTATTCTCTTTCATCAACCAGCACAAAGATAGGATAGATATCGCTTTGGAGTCGATTTCACTGAAATGTCTCGCCTTATATCTACTTAGGTCACCTGCAAATGATGGCTATGAACTTGGGCTACAATTATTGATGGTATGAAGTCCACGCTTAACAATATGTTGCTGCTATTCTGATCCGGTTTCTTCAGGACGAACCAGAGTACATTACTGATTCCGACTCATTGCGCTCCCCTTTGAAATTCCATGAGTCGGACGATATTTTACAACTAGCAGAGTTGAACTTAGTCCAGAAACTCTACACAATATTCACAAGTGAGACGGGAGATCCACGAATTCGGAGGATGGTATGAGCTCGGAAAACCAAAAATAACAAACACGTAACTGACAAAACGTAGGCTGGAAAGGCTTTTGCGGAGATAGTGTACGATTGTCCGGGCCGATACTGCCAGTGGCTTGAAATGCTGAACAGAAATGACCTAAGGTACTTCGATTACTAGTTATTTTTCGAAGCGTGCTAAACACCATCGCATTAAGACCAGTTATTCTTGCATTGGATAGCCCCGACTACATACTGACGTTCTTCGCAACCGTTATAATTGGGGTCTTATATGACTTCGGTGCCATCGATAGATTAGAATGGGAACCAAATGGGCCCCTCTCAAAAAGACTCTCGAAAGCGATAAATCACATACAGAGCGAGAAGAACTCCGCCAAACAGTTCCATTCCTATATTTGTGAAGAAAGGGAGAATCTAGTCAACGTATGTGGCAGAACTAGACTGGATGGTACTTTGCCTATATGCTATTTCATAGGGCTAGATGAGGAATACACGAAGGGGCGCTCACGGAATCCTGCACTACTTCTCTTTGATGCCGATAGGATAGACTTGATACAACCCAGAGGGGATGTCTCTGGCTTGAAAATCGACTACGTGACGATCCGCCTATCTCGCCGTACCCGAACTAGATGCATTTTCCCCAACGAGAATGGTGGTCAGAAGGGGCATATATCCCTGCATATCCATGCAGATGATATTATTGAAGTCAACGACCGAAAGAAGGACCAGAAGGTTATACAACTTAGTATCACGTCCAGAGACGATATGGCCAAAATACGGAAAGGATTCGAGGCCATTGGTATTAGGTGTCAAACGGATATCAGAACAAGCCAGAGCAATCGAAGATCATCATCGATCGTAATCCCGCTGGGCACAGATGATGAGGTTTATTTCAAGTCTTTCCAACCTTCTGAGGCACCATCTCAGACCGTGATGGATTCGAATCCGCACCATATCCGCTGGATGGACGAATCGGCGAACCCGATAGACCGACCTGATTACGTCGTAGATAATGCCCCGGTGGACTCTCCCCAGAGCAGTTTGACAGAGTTTACTCGGACTCCAACTTTTCGCGGGACCTCTTCGCCGAGGGTGCGAGAAGGTTCTCATTCTCAACAGAATAATCCCGAATTATTCGCAAAGGGCCAGTGTATGGGACAAGGGCAGCACGTTCCAAATACCGCCACTAAGCCCGCGAGTAGCGAAGAACTAACAGACATCTGCCCGGAAAACAGGCAGTCCAGAGAGAAACGGACATCCCAAAATGAGAAAGAGGTCAGCGAGAGCGGACCTGCCAGAAACACCCGGTCAAAGTCCTCCCTAAGTGAGAAATCAGTGTGCAAAAATACTGTATTAAAACCAATTCCATCAAATACTCAAGAATCTCTTATTTTCCCGAGGCGCCGCTCTAGGGGAAAGCTATATACGGCGCCAACTAAGACGAAGGTGGATTGGGACGAAGACCTTCGAGAGAGTGACCGTTCTGTTGAACCAGAAACCCGAAAAGATTCTGGGTTGACATCAGTCTCTTCGGCCCTGTCAAGTGGAATTGGATGTGCTTTAAATAAAAGCTTAAAACCATGCAGTGCACTCTCTATCCGAAGAAAATCCGCAACTAAACCCAAGAAACGGGCTAAGACTGGAAGCAAAAGAAAGGAGAGGAGGCTTGTAAAAAGACGGGTCAAACTCCCATTATCATCCCCCAAAATTGTTCAGGATGATACCCGCCCAGGCGATTCACGTGCGTTTGTTTTAGATGGGAACAACATGGGGAACAGAAACAGAGCCTGCAAGGAGGGAGGCACTGCCAATGACCCTTCTCCACCGCCCAGAAGCACTGATGGCACAAGCTATCATTCAATATCTCAAGGATCTGACACTCGTTGCGGCGAATCTACAATGGAGACTACCTTCGAGGGCGACCAACAGTCTGGTTGGGATAACCAAGGTAGAGGCCAGACAGTTGCGGAAAAGCTAATTGCAGCCTTGAGAGGGAGTAGCACACCGGAGAAGCAGTTTGGCAACACAGAGCATAGACCTGAGGCTGTTCATGAACCTGGTGAGCCACTAAATGACATTTTGCACGGTACCCTGGACGCAAAACACAAGGAACGCAGCGAGGGTATGCAAGACATGCCAGGTTCTCAGGAATCAAACGTGTGCAGAAATGGGGCTGCCGGTGACGAGATATATTCCATTGAGACATGCTCCGTTGACTCGCCAGATGGAAACCGAAACAGCCCATTGCGAAACGAAGCAGATAAGGGCTGGATTCTCCGAGAAGGAAAATCCATCTTTGAGACTGAAAGTGAAGAGTATATTGAAAGAGCCATATGGATATCTTCTCCTGCCGCAAGCTCATCAGGAAAGCCACGGTCGAGAGAATCGTCATTCGAGTTTTACTTTACAGGGGCACCACCGAAGCCCTATTGTACCATTCCTGTCCACTCAGAGAAGGCTGCGTCGTCCAATCTGTTCAAGCAAATCTCTTGCGTCCCGGAAGAAACATCGAAGACAGTAACCACCACAGCCGGGGATGGAGCTGCTTTCTCGGCCACTGACGCTCTAAGAGGGTTCATCAAAAATGGCCCTGACCATGTTGCGCAGCGCCTAGACTCGAGCTCCAAACCCATTGTAGACAATAATGGAAGTCCTAGGTTTATGCAACGAGAGAAAAAAGAACACATTACACCAAAGCGCTGGAGCCCTTTGCTTGTTCAACAACAACCAACTGTGAAAAAAATGAAAACAACGCGCCAGGGGGGTGACAAGAACGTAACCTTTTATGAAATGGAGTGGAACCAGTCAAAGAATGATGATTCCCCGACCATGGACAGCTCACCGATCACGACTTACACGGATTCTGACATTCGCTCCAAGAAAGAGACACCAGGAACTTTTGAGCAGGCTATTAAAGGATCAAGCAAGGGTCACAACGCGGTGTTTCCAACTGGCACTGGAAGGAATTCCCCCTTGAAAGATCTCAAGCGCACTTCACCTGGTTTGTCCAAAAATGGGGGACGGCATGGAAGCTCCGAGAACAGAGAATATTCTCTGAAACCACCAAGTACCACAGCTGGCAAGCTACCATTGGAGAGAAATAATTCGGAACGAAAGGTGGCGTGCCAGCAGTCAGAAGACGCTGCCTGCGAAATTGACTGGCAAACATCACTGCAGGAACTCCACAGGTCAATGGAGCTGACACTGATCAATAACAACAAAGTAAGTAGTGGAATGATCGACTTGCTTCCAGGACTCGCTAACATCGTGTTTAGCACCTATCCCGTCAGATTGAAAGTGAGAGGACCACCGTTAATAGAGTGTTGAGCACATATAAACAGCAGTGTAATGCTGTCCTTGATCAACTCTTCGACGCGCAAATGGAGCGTATAAGGCTATGCAAACAACAGATGGACTCCATCAAACAACAGCACGCAGATGTTTGCCAAGGGCTCATTCGTTGTCTGGAGGAGAATGAAAGGAGTTTGACAACTGCGGAAGGAAATGAGGGCAACTCGATGCATGACTAGTAGTTCTCTGCCGCAGGAGGTTGTGCGACATGGTATTGAAGAGCGCAGTGTTTTCTTGTAGTTTTACTTGAACCAGCATATATCTATTTGAGCGCTCAGGCCTCCCGAGGGACGCAAGGAGGTAACTCGCGGATCCGCCATACTGAGAGAACGGATCAACGGACGCTACGAATAAAAATCAATTGAATTACTTCTGACTCACCGGAATCACGTGTGGCGGATGACACTGGTCTTTTCTCTTCCGCCCGCAATTAAATAAGGTTGATTCGAAGCTTGCACCCTCTTTCAACGAAAATATACTATTTTGCGAAGAAATCGGAACAGATTCTTGCCTGCAGTCACCAATTGCTGCCTCTAAAAGTACCTTGAAGCATACTTCATCTTTTCCCCTGAATTCTCGCCCCCCTCTTTCACGCCGCGGCTATCTAGATCTACCCCGCGAAACTATGGCCGTGAGTCAACCCAACTGCCAGCTCCTGAGGCACCCTCTCACACACGGAACCACAGTTCTTCCTTCAAAACCCCAATGTAGGGGATACCAATCATCTCGAAGATTCAAGGAGTATGTTTCCGTTATGCTTCACTGCCATTGACTCCGTCTGACCGAGCTCTCTGTCCATAGTTCTTGGCTACAACCCTTTAACACCACCCAACCTTTTACAACATGAGATCGCCCTCACAGAAACTGCCCGGAAAACGGTCCTTCAAGGCCGAGCTGAGGCCAGTGCCGTCGCCCATGGCACTGATACCGACAAGCGCCGCCTCCTGGTTGTCATCGGACCCTGCTCGATCCACGACCCGGAAATCGCCCTTGAATACTGCGACCGATTACTGAAGTTAAAGGCGAAGTATAAGGATGAGCTGCTGATCGTAATGCGCTCTTACCTGGAAAAGCCCCGGACCACCGTCGGCTGGAAGGGTCTCATCAACGACCCGGATATTGACAACAGCTTCAATATCAACAAGGGTCTGCGTGTCTCTCGCCAACTCTTTGTCGACCTGACGAATAAGGGAATGCCCATTGCTAGTGAGATGCTGGACACAATTTCGCCCCAGTTCCTAGCGGACTGTCTCTCCGTCGGTGCCGTCGGCGCGCGAACAACAGAGTCTCAGGTCCACCGAGAACTGGCCTCGGGTCTGTCGTTCCCCGTTGGCTTCAAGAACGGCACGGATGGCTCGCTAGATGTCGCTGTTGATGCCATTGGGTCTGTCAAACACCCTCACCACTTCCTGTCGGTTACCAAGCCCGGTGTTGTTTCTATCGTGGGTACCGTCGGCAACCCGGATTGCTTCGTTATCCTGCGCGGTGGCAAGAAGGGCCCCAACTACGATGCTGCCAGTATCACCGAGGCAAAGGAGAAGCTCATCGCCAAGGGTCTTGCTCCTCGTCTCATGGTCGACTGCAGCCACGGCAACTCGGAGAAGAACCACAAGAACCAGCCTAAGGTCGCCGGTGTCCTTGCAGAGCAAATCGCCGCAGGCGAGACCGCGATCATGGGTGTCATGATTGAGAGTAACATCAACGAGGGTGCGTATATCTCCTAACCAGTCTCACAAAACTGAACTCTTCACTAATATTGTAATTCTCAATAGGTGCTCAAAAGGTCCCACCCGAGGGCAAGTCCGGTCTCAAATACGGCGTCAGTATTACTGATGCTTGCATCAGCTGGGAAGACACCGAGTCAACGCTAGAGACACTCGCGAAGGCCGTTGCCACTCGGAGAGAGAAACTGGCTTCCAAATAAAACCCACTTCTTGTAGAATTAAAAAAAGAATATGCTTGTATCCCGGGTATCTAAAATTGGTTGAGCTAGCGGATTTGAATCATTCAACAAAAATATGAATTTTCCTTGATTACCTCCCGTGTACTATTTTGTCACCTTCACCCATGTAGTAATAATGTCTACATATAAACCCGGATAACCTAGCAGTACAACTAGAAGCTAAAACAAAAACGGTTTCTCTTCGCTGAGAACGTCGCTTTTACTTACAAAAGTACCAAGCCCCCGGTTAGGATGATAGCAAAGTACGAACGAAAATTGTCCAGACCAAGCGAGGCTACCGAGGCCGGGTCTCCCCGATTCACAAGCAAGATACAACAAGCTTGAAGGTTTTCTCTCAAGTAATAATCCTGAACCCGGTTGGTCTGAGGCTGGGTGGATTCTCGAAGGATCCATTTTGAACTTGCCGGTCATCTGATGGCTGATGGAGGAGTGGGCCGACAAGGGCAGTATACTTAAGTGGCTTGCTATGGACAAGGAATGATTGAATTTTAGAATAGAGAGTGAACTGAAAAGTTCGGTGGACAGGGAGTTGGACGTCCGCTTGATCGGCGAATGTTTATTTCTTGATAATAATGATATATTGGAATAAAAATGAGGAGCACTCTATGGTGCAAAGTGGGGTAGTATGTCATAACTCATGATACAAACAAACGCTGTGGATTGACTATATATTGAAATGCGCCGCGCTAGAGACAGGAGATTTGATGAATATGCAGAAAAATAGAATAAAAAATAAACTCTAGTAGACGGCCTCAGCCTCCATCCATCTGCCTTCTAGCTCGGGCAGCTTGACATCAACAATCCGTGCAGCGAAAGAAGGACGTCTATGGCCGGCGTTCAAGAGATTGCTGGGTGCTGATGCACTGCATCCGTTTACCATTGCTGGACTGCTGTGTTGACGAAGCATGTGTCGTCCAATAAATTCTGCTCGTGGCTCGCATTGTTTTCGTTTGCGCGAAGCATCGGGTTGGACCAGGCAGTTCTGAGAGCGATTGATTAGCTGGGCGGATGCGATATGTCCGTCGGAGCCGATAGTGAATGATTTGCATGGGATTTTGGAAGCATGCTGCGAGGAAGACGTAAAAGTATCCACGTCAATGATGTTGGTTTCGCCCCATGCACCAAATGCCCAGATGCGAGCACCCCCATGAGAAGACTGAAGAGACAATTCAACCACATTCTGTACCCGGCCGATTTCCTTTCCGTAGATCTTGAACGGCCACATCATAGCGGTTGGTCTGTAGCTGACACTGAGAAGGAAATCCCAGTCTCCGTTTTGGTTCTGAGCTAGACTGCCTCGGCGTTTATGACCCCGTTGCTGGTTGACAAAGAAGTCCCGCGCAAGGTCACTGTCGGCCATGACGCCGTCACCTTGTCTCTCACGTTCCTTCTTCAAAACATTAAACACATCCAGAGGCACGGAATAAAGCACAAGTCGCTCTCCGTAGGCCGCCACGACACGGAGTCCCCAACTCAAGTCTGAACCAGATGTGAAGGCTGTAGGAAGTGGTGCACCCTTAGGCGCACCAGGAGCTTCGTTTCCGAATGGTGGAACGCAAACAAGTGCTCTTGTGAGGCTCGTCGGCCCGTCGATTGGTGCATCCGATCCGACGCAGAGAAACCCGCTGCGAGGCTCAACGAACAGAACATGGATACCGTCATTAACAGGAACTGCTCGATAATGGTGGCATTGCGTTGTTCGCACTAAGCCTACTTGGTCTTTCTGTTCCGGGGCCCATCGACTGAAGGTTTGAACGTCGTTCGTCATAGCGTGGAACGGACAAGATGGACGTGATTCGCCCGGTGGCAGATTTTCGCAACCACAGCCTTCCATCCCTGGGCCGGCCAATGATGCAATAAGTCGAAATTCCAGTGGCGTGTCCTGCTGGTTTGGCATAAAATGCAAGATCTCCGATGGCTGTGACATGGCCAAATGTTTTCGACAATCTTTACTGGTCTGTTGGTCAACCCAGCGTAATTCGATCCCAGAGTCAGATCCGAATGCAGCACAGTGATGGCCAGGACAAATTGAAAGACTGTGGGGAGGATCTTCGGCAGAACAAATATCGTAATAAAAGTGTCGAGATGCCATTTTCATGGAATGCAAATTCCCGAAATGGCAGTTTCTCGCAGAAGTGCTACCCGACGCATCGTAGGCAATTCCCTCTGCATGATCGCCATCCTGCCAATCGACTGAGACAAGATCGCATATCATACCCAGTCGACCATACATTAGGGCTGCAACAGTGAATATCGAAGTACTGGTGTCAATAGCAGCTGATAGGACCTCGGCCGGACAAGTTATAGAGGCAACAGTAGTAATATCTGTGTTCCTCAGATCCTCCGCTGACATCGGTGTGGACTTTGCCGTGCATCTGGTCAGTAGTTGATAGACATGGATTATGCAGCCCGAAATCACAAGTAGATAGTTCCCACAGCCGCTGACATGAAAGCTGGACGCTACCGGTACGTCGTCCGAGAAGGAAGAAGTATAAAGTGAGTCATGGGATATTGGTGAACGGTCTGCCTGAGAAAGCTGCGAGAAGTCCACAATACTAGTTGTCAAGAAGCCACTTCTTTCGACGTTCATTTTGCGACCTGACAAAATACATTCGGTTGCGAACCGTTTGCTCATTCTCCATGCCGGACTTTCTCCATTATTGTCAGCATAACTAGGGCGTCGAGTACGATCGTCCCTGAGCCAGCTATCCCACCAGCCAGCTCGCTTAAGCATACTTTCTAGTAGACGCTCATTCAAACTAGCGCGCATCCATTGCGAACAGGTTCGCCGAGCGTTATCGAAATCTCGAGGGCTCAGTAGATAGAAGACCTGCGTAAGGATTTCTGAGGGAACAGTGTTCGTAAGAGGAAGGGAGAGCGGTGACACCTCGTCAATGGCGCGAGCCCAGGATTTGCATGTTAAGCGTAAAGAACGACGAGCAGTTTCTGGCACAAATTCCAATAGCCTCCTAGTAACTGCAGGTGGTATCCCGGAAGCCACCTTCGGATTGGTGCCTATACCAGGCTTTGAAAAATCCAAAAATGCTGGCATTTTCGTCGACTTCGAAAGTAGGATGCACTGAGTTTATGAGGTACCTAAAACGAATTTGCTTGACAATATCAAATTGCCCCAGCTGCAAGCACTTCAGGGTGTATAGATAGAAGACGGATTTTACAGCTGTTTCCTGTTCACCAACTTGTTCACACTCATACTCAACGGCATTCGGGCTGTATAGTTAGACCTTCGAAGTATTTTGAGCGACTCGAGGGTCAAGTCTATTACCGACAGAAAAGGCTGGCCAGGAGTAGTGGTAGTACCTGGCTGGCGTTTGTTGAGAGAGAACGAGAAGGTACTCAATTTGGTTCAAGGATGGGTGCAAGATGTATGGATTGCTGGTTCGCTTTGTATAGAGGGGGGAATGAAACGAGGATTTGTTCTCCGAGGGGCGCAGACAGGTATATAAAGACGGGGGCGAATCCGGAAATTGGAAGGCGCCTGACATCTTCAGTTTTTGATATGAACTTCAACTTCTAATTCGAGTTATCCAGCGCCACCACGGAGGGGTGGGACAACGGGTGGTCTGAACTTCTGACGTCGACAACAGGGCACCCGCAGGCATAGCTCAGGATCGCTTCCCCATGGTGGAGCCTGAATTGTCGTGATCCACATGGTCGAAAACCGTAATGGGCGGAGCCGGCGACAGCGCGGTGGAGAACGGGCAAAAAACCAAAGAGAATTGGTTTTCAAGGCTGGGTCAGCGATGCCGAGCCAGTGAATGCGAGAGGACTCGAGCCCGCTTCCAGCAGAAATGAGATGTGCTTTTGTGAACGAGTGAGAATAGAGAAAGGCCGGGGCACAGATGCTGGAGCGGATCCAAAACGGACGAGGAAGAGGAGCTAAAATGAGGGAGATCGTGGGCACAGGCGGGTCCGCGCTGGCTTCTCCAGAATGACGAAAATCAGCTCCTGCACGACTTGGCAATATCACACGAGTTGGCGCTAAATGGACTCACCCTCACTTGCAGGTTTGATAGTGGTAGCATGCCGAAGCTGTTAGGATGCCATGCTAATTTGACAGTGGATTGTAAGACACTGAGGTTGGAGAAAGAGGAAGAGGACTGGAAGAGCAGAAAAAAGGCTGCGAAAAAGGGAATAATGGCTTCGAGAACGTTCAGCTGGCGCTTGCACGGCACACACCAGTGACACCACACACCACAAACCAGTCCTTGTTCCAGCCTATTCCAGGATTCTAATCCTTTTGTGGGAGATCAACGCACAGCTAATGCAGGGCTACTGCGTGTTCCTCCCAATTATCATCACCAATCCGTTATCATGACAGATCAGCTCACCTCTCACACGAGGCTCCTCCTTACCTCGGAGTCTTTTGGTTGATGTATATTAGATGTTATATTCAGGTCATAGTACTATTATTTACTGCGCGCTGCGCCACATACCTTGCAGCTACGAGCCCGATGATCACATGTATAGACAAGACTAAGTACACTGAAACGCTAGGGAGAAACGACTGGGATATCTATATGCAGACATGAAAAGCAAAATAAAAGGTCTTATAAGCAAAGACTCCACCGCCCATTGTCCTCCCTTGAGGTAGAAAGTTAGACAGAGTTATGGTTCTGGTCCTGGTAGTGCTCAAACTCCTCCTGCAGTCCAGGCACAGGGTTGCGCCCAGGGAGCCAAGCACTGTCCAGAGGTAAGATGAGGCTAGGATTGATATATTTCTTCAGTTTAAGCGGCATCACCTGGCCCCCTAGCCGGACCGGGAACGCATCACGATCGATAGCAGGGGGTGGTGAGAATGTCGATGACAGAGATGGGGAGATGTCACCGGAGTTGGGTGTGTCACGGTAGATGCTCTTCAAAGCAATGAACTTAGTTAGTGGCTCGTAGCTCTGAGTGTAAAAGTAGCTGAACCACACCGTAGCGCCAATTAAGGGAACAATGAGTAACGACGGAGTAATAGCTTTTCGGGCAGCAACCAAACCAGCCATGGCCATCTGGAAGACCGTCAGGCCCACCAAGACTCGATTGCAAATCATCGGCCATGCTCGACCTGTCGAGTGTTGTCGGTGGTCCATCGCATATAAAAGCTGATACTTGCAGATAAAGTTGCCAATCGTGAAATACATCAACCCAAAAAAGCAGATTAGCCATGAGCTCGGTAACACGCTGTACACCACACAGATGATGAACACAAGTATTGACTGTGGAACCGAATACCCATAACTGAACGTTGGAGGTACAGAGAGTTCGGCAAAATCTCGCGGCGTCTTAGCCATGAAGAAGTTGATAGGGTACATAAACACGCTTCCGAACTCCAAAAGTCGGAACGGGAATAATCCCAAACCCTGAAGGATTAAGAATTTGTAATAGAATGGTGCCAACCCTTCTAGGGAGCCAGCGATGACACGCGCAATGGTAGGGGCGTCTTTGAAGGAATCTCGAAGGCGCTCCCAAAAACTATAGAAGTTCGTGACAGTGCCGATAACGGTGAAGACCACAAAGAGATTGAAGAACGAGAAGAAGAAACTCTTGGAGATAACAGAAAGTTCTACATCCCCTCGGGACATCATTCCTTGGTGGCTTGAGAGCCCTGTAACAAACAATAGTTAATACCAATTCCACGGGTGAAAAAAAAGAAGTAAAAGTAAGAGACATTAACAGAATATGTCAAATACCTACAATTGTATAAATAAGGGACCGCAACAGTCAGTAAAGAGAAGGCCAAGGTCGGAAGACCTGTCTGGACAAGTGATGTAGCGAGTGGGTGTCGAGCAAGAAGATCAGCCAGCTGGGGCCACACTTTGTGGAGAGTCTCCAACTTGAGCAGGGTTCCAACGGGCACCAGTAACACAGACCAGAAAACAGAGAGAAAGCAAATGAGTGCGGTGATGGACCAAGACTGCAACATCCGCCTTGAGCGTGGCAAGTAGGTATTTCCCCAAACGACGTCCGCCGGGGCTGGGGCCAGTCTAGCAAGGAGCTGCATTGGATGAGGGTCGAGGATCGCCTGAACAAGCATTTGTGCGGCAGCGATGGATTTCATAGTCACGAATGCAAGCTCAGTGGGAGGGTACTCTTTTTGGCGTGCAATCTGAATTTGCTCATCAAGCCGTCGGAGTGCCTCCTCGTAGTAGTCTATAGCATCGACCTTTCGGTAGCGTAGTTTTAACGGACCGTACCACAAGCGTACTGTCGGTCGTGTTTTGACTCGGTTAAATGCGTCATCTTGTCCATTTTCCAAGAGAAGGCGCATTCTTTCATCATCCTCGGAAATAAAGCTGGAATCAACAGGTTCCTGATGTCTCAGGGGCAAAGTGTCTCCAGATTTCCTGGCCCGCTTGTAGCCCAAGTACTTGACCCAGGCGGTTTCTAGATGCCGTAGCACTTTAAATCGCTCCTCAATCAAATGATCCAGTGAACTCCAATTTCGGCAAAGCGTAATACTTTGGACTTCCCCGATGTGCAAGCCCTCGATGAATTCGGTGATTTTTTCTTCGGATCCCATTTCTGCCGGAATGCCTGATAAGCGAATTGTCCGATCAGTTGTGCTTGTTTGGCCGCCGAGATATTTCTGTCTGATGTGGATGATTTTCTTCGTCTCGTTAAGCAGCATGTAGATGGCGATACCACTAAATAGGTAGGTAAATACCACATATGTCCAAAGATACGGCGGGTCGGTAATTAATGGTTTCTTCCCATCCTTGCCAACATCGATATACTTATCCCAGTCCTCAACGCCTAACTTCCCGGTGTAGCTATAATGAATCGGGAGAAGGATAACTGCAGACAATATAAAAATGGTGAAAAGGAATCGCATCGCAAAACGAAAAAAGGAGAGGAACTAATCCCCGAGTACCGTTAGTATATCCTACCACGAGCAGGGAAATTCGACACGTACAACGAAGGCATCCAGCCCCGCAGACTGGAGAACTTGTTCTTCGGTTATTCGGTACAGCACGGGCACCCATCCAAAAAAGCTGTCAGGAAGCTCCGGTAGGTTTAAATCCGTATGGTGTTGTCGCCTTCGAGCCGCGTATAATTCCGTCCATTTCGGCCGTAGAAGCTATCTCGGGGATAAAATGTTAGCCTGGGGTTTTGCGCATAAGTTTTTGGGAATCCGCAGGACATTCACATACACAGAAGGATAGACACGCCGATACCCCTAGACCCAAACTAATGATAAGCTGCGTATACAGGTCTCGCTGCCCAGTGACCGGGTCAGTCGGGTTCGGCGGCCCTTCATCCCCGGTGTGGTTATTCGCAAAAGTAACAGCAGTTACCATTGCCGCCACGGCAGACTCCGTGAACGACATGATTTGCGTCGAGAACGAGATCAGCCCTTAACCTTTATATTGTCTCAAGCAGCCCGCGCGTTCACCAGTGCATTTGGGCGCCAAGTGCTGATTTTCAAATCCGGTGATCGGGTCGACAACAACTGACGTCAGGGAAGGATGGTGCGCGCTTCACCGAGTTGCAAGGCCGCAAGATTGAGAAGCTTGCTGTGAGTAGTAGGACAGGGTCTCAAGGGCAAAAATAGAGCGCAGTTTCAACAATGTAGTGATCGGAAACAAATTGTTATTGGGAGCTTGTGATCACTTTCAAGTTTCAAGCTAGCGACCGTTCAACGCTCAACTTGACGGTTGCCGATCGGCGGGTGTACATAATAAGTCAGCAAGACACTATTCGAGGACAAACGGCTTATGCACATATTATGCAGCCCGGCTGCAAGTTGCTTTCGTTGGAAACCGCATGAAGAGAGACTAATCATTGAAAAGATTATTAAAAGAAACTGATGGTAAGAACGAGTTTATGCTAACTAATCTACCATGGACGTTCTATATACTGCGGTCTTGACAATTAGGAACCATATATACATGTTACTCTTCAAAAAAAGGGACAAAATCCTAGTCTGCTAGATATATCGTGATGCATCATAATAAAGATCGAGCAAGCAACCAGCGGACCATGCTTGGGTTGGCGACTATTATGCCAAGAGTTGTTAGCTTTATCTGTCCAAAAATTAAGCGGAAT